TACCTAGGAATTAGCCAAATAAATAAACAAAATAAAAAAGATGTTCCAAATAAAAAAGAGATTATGTTCACAAATGATTTTTATCTTGTTAGTATGTCAACTCTCTCTAAGTTAATCTATAAATTTAATGCAATTCCAATGAAAACCTCAACAGCTTGTTTTAGGGAACTTGATAAACTGATACTAAAATTTATACTGAAGAATAAAACTCCACAAATAGCTAAGATATTTTTAATGAAGAAGGACAAAGACAGGACATTCATTTACTAAATATTACAAAGTTATATTAAGACAATGTTGAACTGGGAAAAGAATGGACATATACCAACAGAACAGACAGCCCCAAAACTTCATGTTTATGGAACTTGGTATGTAATAAAATGGGGAAAATATGGATTATTTAGTAGATAGTGTTAGGAAAACTGATTGCAATCCTACTTGGCATGCTCAGCAGACACTGACACAAGTCCTCAAAGGACATAACTTAGCACCAAGGTCACTTAGGTTTGGCAGAAGGATATAACACAGTAAACAATGGCATAACAGCATGTAGAGGAGAGCATCCTCCCTAGGGAACCCTCATGTGCCTCAGGAAGCGCTATTTTGTAAAACCCTTGAAGTTAGGTTCTAGGTCCCTGCAACAAGCTTGGTTATCAGAGTTATACCTTACTAAGATAATTCTTAAAATCTCTGCTTTTTCTTTTTACAATAAAAAAAAAAGTCTGGTAAGCAGCTGACATTCCTTATTTATCTTAATCAAGTAGATTTCCAAGGAAAGAAGAGTGCTAAGGAGAAAGTAAACCCAAGGTCATTTTCTACAGAGAGGGAAGGGGTTTTGTTAACTATTTCTACTTAATGACTAGATGGAGAAAAAGTTGGATTCACACCCCATACTATATCCAAAAATAAATTACAATTAAATAAATGACCTAAACGTAAATGGTAAAACTATAAAACTGATAGAAAAATAAGACCTTAAAAACACAAACAGTTGGGGAGATTTCTATTCCATGAAGGATACAAAAGACAAGAATTAGCAAATTAAGATGGAGTTATTTCCGAAGGCTGAACCTGACAAGAAAATAATATCTAGAATACCTAAAAATTTCATGTACTGTAGTCAACAAGAAAGAGAAAAACCTAATAGAAAAATGGGCAAATTCTAAGTATAGGCAATCCACAGAATGGAAAACCAGGACAACTAACAGGCATGTAATGACCCCCATTAGTAATCAGATAAAGCAGATTAAGAAAAAATACAATTTCATAAACAATTAGCAAAAATCAGAAAATATCAAGTGCTGAAAATGTAGAGAAAATAAAACCCTCATATCTTACTACTGGAGGGGAAAATTGATACAATCATTCCTGAAAACAATCCAACATTACTTAAATCAAATATGCATATATCCCTAACCCCATCCATTCTAGTTTAGGACATGTATACCAGAGAAACTAAAGGGCAGGTTCCTAAGAAGACAGGTACAATTTTGTAGAAGTGGGAACAACTGGGAACAAACTAACTATTTATGACCGAGGAAAGGACAAGCTATACAATAGAAAAATAATTGAATACAACAGAATAATACACACCAGTCAGAAGTACATTATATAAGAACCATGGGTAGGTCTTGAAAACCTAATATTTTATGAAAGTTAGAAGCAGAATGAAATCTATACCACAATATCATTTATATAAAATTTAAAAACATATAAAGTAAATATTATGATATAGTTTTTTGAGGAAATATTTAAAATATGAAATATATTTCAGAAGGACAAATATTAAAGTAGGGGATGAGGAGTAGGGAATTGCAGGTAGGAGATGAATAAAAACTGTTACTGTAAAATAAAACACCACAAGGGCAGCCTTTCTGGACCAATGATATTGGTGTCATTAATGAAGAGTATAATCAATGACTGACTCAATTCTGAGCAACTGAGGTCCTTAAAAAAACAAAACAAAAAACACTTATTTTACATGAGCAAAAACACTTTTAAAAGTTAGATAAACATTATCTCTTAAAACATGAAAAACTATACATGGGGCATTACGTAGTAAGAACCCCACAGGATTCATGAGTTAGCTGATCTTAAAAGAAACAGTTTATTCTCCCAAATAAGCTAAATAAAAAACTAAACAGTATGAAAGAACATTTCAAGGCAATACTGAGAAAACAAAATTTCTTGTGTTGAACAAATATTTCACCGTGTTTTTTCCAAGTTAGGCTGTTCTGCTATTAAGTAAAATTATTTTAAATTACATTTTGGACAAAGTTATAGGTACAAGTGAACTAATTTTAATTTTTAATTAAATACACATGAATCTGAAATTCCAGCCTGATATACATACTCTGTGAAACTTTGAGGATTTAAAAAGTATATGTGGAAAAACTTACAAAATGTATCATTGCCATAAAATCTTACTTTTGATGGTCCTATATATATTTTTTAAAAGCACTCTCATGTGAGGCAGATATAGCAGCTATCCCCATTACCAACAAAGAAACCGAAAAATAAATAATGGAACCTAAATCTTACAGTAAGTAGTGATGTCCAGACTAGAATCTAGGTCTCCCAAAATCTCAATTTGAGGTCTTATTTTTATTTAACTCCCCTGTAGTTAACTTTTATATAAATGTAAATCTATTATTTTCTTTTAAATCACAAAGAAATAGAACAGACACAATAGTTTGCAGCAGATAATACATATACACAATGATGTGAAGAAAAATACTTTTTATAGTATTTCCAATCCTGCAAGAGTTAACAGTTTATCTTTAAAAAAGTCAAGTTTAACACATTTTTATTTCCTCAGTAAAAGTTACTTCACAATCTTCAAAAATGAAAATTTAACTGAATTCTATTTGTTCTTTTTTCCATTAAAGAAAGCAGAAGGTAAAAGATAGCTGTATTAAAGTAGATGTATAATTACGACACACTGACAGACTAAAATCCAAGTACCTAGATAAAATGTTAAAACATGAGAATTTATAGTCCTTTTACCTTTTCTTTTCTAAACTGATTAAATACAATCCTAAAAATTTTGAAAACCTTGTTTTATTATTGTAACTTATGACTTATTTAATTGAAAATATTTTGGTTTCACAGTTAGTAATTCCTGTAAAGTAGCACTCCTTAAATAAGTTCCTAAAAATAACAATACTGGACCTTGAACATTATACTAACTTCATCTAAAAAAATTATGCTATAACTGTTATGATATTGAAAATATTTTGGTTTCACAGTTAGTAATTCCTGTAAAGTAGCACTCCTTAAATAAGTTACTAAAAATAACAATACTGGACCTTGAACATTATACTAACTTCATCTAAAAAAATTATGCTATAACTGTTATGATAAAAAGGTTATAAAATTTATCTGCTTATTCTAGCCCTAAATTTATTTTCTAGACTTTGATAGGGAATTTTCAGACAAAGTTACTACTCAGATTATGTATACTGTAATTTAGCATACTTGACCCAACAATAAACACCCTAAGAAAAGTGAAACTGCTGTCATTCATTTTGTACTATACTGTTCTGCCTATACATTTTTAATAGTAGTCACAAACTCTAAAGACTTTTTCTAACCTAAATAGTGCTGACTCAACATTTCACTTTTACTTTACTTCTAGCATTCAATTAAGATGTCTCAACACCAAATCTAATAATCTGTTTTATTAAAAATTTGTTTCAAGAACAAAATTCCCATAAATTATTCTTAACAAATCAAAGCAGAACCTTTAATTTTAGAACACAAATGGAAAATAATACATACAAGAAACTATCTCCTCAACTTGAAGGCTAATATCTGGGTGTTAGAAAAATACGCCTAACAAATAAATTTTACTCTAAGTATTTATTTTTTCCGCATAGGATTAAGATTCTATTTTAAATGATATGTTACTTATTATATTGTCATTTCAAAAATGGGCTCCCCAAGAAGCCTTTAATAAAGTTCTTCTAGGTTGGGTATACATTTGGTTCCTGTATGTTTTAGTCTGAACTGTTCTAGAATTATTTATTTGGTGAACATAAAGTCTATAAAAAGAAAGATAAAAACACTAAATCACAATCTTTATTAAATAATTCAAAGCTTTTAACAATATCTGTAAATGTTTTCTTGTACACCTGTATTCCTGACAGTATTAACCTGTTGTACAATCACAGCACGTATACAAATTTTCCAATTTTGTGGGGAAATATTCAGTGTACAGAAAGTTAAATGCATTTAAAATCATTACTAAACAAAAACTCAAATAGCGTTATCATATTCTAAATGGAAGTAGAGCATTTTATAGTTTCAGTAGTTAGAAACTGAACTGAAATGTGTATACAATGTGACACATTTTCAATCTTTAAAGAACATCCTGAACATGCAATTTTATTTTTATTTAAAAAAAATTTTTTTAAAAGATGACCGGTAAGGGGATCTTAACCCTTGACTTGGTGTTGTCAGCACCACGCTCACCCAATGAGCTAACCGGCTATCCCTATATGGGATCTGAACCCATGGCCTTGGTGTTATCAGCACCACATTCTCCCGAGTGAGCCATGGGCTGGCCCTGAACATGCAATTTTAAAATTATACTAGACAGAAGCAGAGAACCTATGAAAAGATTAAAAATCATTACTGTCAGAACTGATTATATCGTTTTACAAACTCAATGAACTTAAGTCTTGGTTGGAGGAAAAGAAAGCAAACCTTTCATGTATTGTGATTCATCTAGGATGAAAACTAGTCATATTGTAAAGGGATAAAGAGTTATGATCCTCACAAGAAATGGAAAAAATTTGTAAGAAAGATAAATTTCAGAATTTTTACTAACAGGGAAAATATTAGGGCTAAATATTCTATTATTCTAGACCAATCTTCCTTCAGAAAGCGTCTAGTGACCTTTTCAAGATAAATTTCAAAAAGCACAATAAAAGATAATAGTATCAATTGTATGTGGGTGAAAACATTATTGCCTAAAGCAAACCCAAAACTGGAAATAATACAGATCAGAAAATGTTTATTATTCAGTTTAGTTAAGGTTGTAAAAAATTAGCCACTTTGCCTGTTCTCATATTTATATGTTATCTACTCATTTTCTAAGGATTCCATGTCAATTAATCTAGAACTTCAAAAAGCATAAATGATCCCTACTGTAGCAAACTGTTCTTTCTATAGTTTATCAGTCTTACTCTTCCAATAAACCTAGGGATTTAAATAAGATGAAAATGATAGCAATCTCCATAACCTCAAAATCTAGATGAAACAAATGTCCTCATGGTCCAATAACTTGTAAAATGTAACCAGGTCACTAGACTAACATACTAGTGTATAACTAATATTTCTAGCAGCAAAACAGCTGGAATAGCCAATAACAAATGTTTTCATTGGATTGTGGATTAATTTCTTTGTAAGAAATAATTTTTAAAAGTACTCTAAAGTATTGTTCAACTGAAGGCAAACATGAAAGATATCAAAGACCTTGTCTATCTCCACTGTTCCCAGTGGAGTCAGGTGCAACTGGAACCTTATTAGTTTCAACAAAAACAGATTCAAAGGCAGCTTCCTGTTCATCCAAAGAATCAGCAGCTGTGGCTCCTTTAATTAGTGTTGGGTTGGTAAAAGACTGCTGTTGCTTGGAAATTTTACTTGATTCCACTGTTTTTCTACCTCTTCTTTTACCAAGAATTTTGACATAATTTGCAGGTATAAGTCCTGTTGTTTGACCATCAAGACTAGCCAGAAGCCAACCACGCACTTTGGGTTGTTGTTCTGATGGGGAAAAAAAAGACAGCCTTGGAATTATAACATACTTTGGAGATCCAGTAGAATAGTGATGGTAAAATATATTAAGTAAAATCTGTGTTATACTAACATAGTAGATAGAATATATAAACAAATATTACACTTGTGTATGTTCAAAATCAAATGCCGAATAAGCTTAACAGTTCTAGGGTCCATTCTTATAATCTGTTTTTAATTTTATACTTACTAAATACTTCTTTCTACCTTGAAGAACATAAAGTTTTTGTCAGTTGGTCCATTCACAGGGTAAGCAGATTCAGTTCTCTCAAAAGCTGAAAACTAACATCAGTGTCTTTCACATTTTAAATCGGAATCTAAGGAATGATCATCTTGTTTCTTCTCAATAGGGTAAGTTAGGCGTAAGCATATGTGGGGAAAACAGGATAATTTAGTAAGGCTCCCTCAGCTCAGGTCTGGGGGTCCAGTGCACATTTCTTGTAAACAAGTTGTGTGTGGGTGGAGTTAGTGCACATGTGCACCAATATATCTTTTTAGTTCTGTTGATATTGTGTGTTCTTCAGTTTGTGAAGCAGGCTGGTAGGCAGAGAGTTCACATCTAAAAATAGAGCATGCTTACTCTGCTAGCAGCTGCTCAGTTTTTCTTTGGACTTTGCCCTAGCAGTTGAGTTTCTGAGTTTCTCTTTGTACTGCCTAGGTCTTAGACATGTGTGTGCTGAATAAAGACTATTCCTCCTTCAGCCAAGGCTCCAAGGACCATTTTGTCCAGTTACCTAGCTCACAGACCTGTGTGTGAAGGGTCCGTGAATGGGCTTGAGGGGTCTGTGAGCTCCAGACCCCAGCTTTAGCTCTACAGTATAGAAAATAAATATATACCTCTATGCAGCCAGCATTTTTTACCTACTCTTGGCTAAACTATAACATTCATTCCATATGACTGAAGATAGTGAATGTTAATTTTGATCCAAGATAGGCAAAAAACTGAAGACCACATGACAAAAAGTTAAAGGCAGTACTTTATGCAGTAGGAAAGATTACTTAATACATTCAATTTTATATGGCATTTTCCCACCTATTTTACCTATGTCTTTAAAAAGCTGTTTAACCATTACAATTTTAGCTTAACATTATAATTTAGGTACAATATAACCTTTCATGTTTAGTACTCTTTCAATTATTCACACATTAAACTAATAATATGAATACTGAATGTATCTTTTCCCCCCATGTAAACACTAAGAACAAAAAAAACCATTAAAGGCTAAAGTTTCCATTAATAGATACTCCCATGGAAAACAGCCAGAGTGGTTAAAAACACAGGTGCTGAAGTCAGACAAATCTAGATTCACAGTCCAGTTCTACCACATCTTAATTTTGTGATACTGGACAGTTTACTCATTCTGCGTCTCAGTTTTCTCATGTGTAAAACAGACACAGGATAATAACAGTATCCACTTCAAAGTATCATTGTGAGGGTTAAATAAAATATGTAAAATACAGTGCCTTGTACATAATGATAGCTGTTACTGTTAACAGTACCTTTATCAACAAAATGTGACTTTTTGCAATAAACGTGAATCCCCACAAATACACACAAAATTTTCTTTTTAATAAATCCACAAAACCCCTGATTATAATTATTTGGGGAAGGTAAAGAAAAAGGTAATTGTGTCTTGAGTGATTAAAAACTATTAGTGACCTAGTCCAAAAAGAAACCTGAGATGTACATAAATTTCTTGCTGAGGTTCTTTAATACTTCTTGACAGTAATTTCTAAAATATTCACGATGGAGTTTCTGAAGTAAACACTATTCCAATAATAAAGAAAGCAACACCAGTCCCAGTAATCATGGACAGATAGGCATGCTTAGATGATGCTACATAATTCCTTTAATTTATTAGATTTATTACATTTAGAATTTACCTTATATTTTTGTGTGGGGGGATTAACAAGAGTTTGAATTCAACTGTTTTGAGTTTAGAAGAGACTATATAAACAGTCATTTCCTTATCTCAGTGAAACATTATTGAAACAATTCTGCTGGGGCATTTCTCCCTGACTCTCCCAAATTTGCAAGGTCTGAATTGACATGAAAGAGAAATTCTAGTAACTACCTCAAAGATAATTAACAATTCACAAGATCCTTTGTTGCAGTTTTTAATACTGTACTTATAAATATTAAAAATCCACAGATAATTCTGATTTATTCATGATTTGTTACCTTTGAGAGCTAAGTTTAGCATATCACCAGCACGGAAAGAAATTTCTTCTTCAGATACAGCAGCAAAATCATATTCTGCTCTAGCAACTACATGGTCATCCTCACCACTTGCCCAGTTGATGTTGTCTATAAGCCAAATTAAGAATTAACATTAGGTTAGTAAAGCTTGCGAAAGGAAAATGCAGATATTTCACTGGCTATTGTTTGCAAAATGCATAAATTTATTTGCCAAGAGAAAAGTCCTTCCCTCTTATGTAAATCCAAGAACGGACACTATGTGAAATCAACAGTATGTTCACTAGGATATCTACTAAGAAATTTTTCCTTTTCTTTAAGCTCCAAGTTCTACCTTCCTTACTTAAGCCAGGGGTTGGCAAATTTTTTTTGTAAAGGGTCAGACAGCAAAAATTTCAGGCTTTGCAGGCCAGGAGGCTAACTAAAGGACATTGTGTAATTACATAGAGAGAAAAAATTTTTCGATAAACTTTTTATTGACAAAATTCAAAATGTCCTGACTGAATTCTTTATAACACAGGTCTACTACTTAGAAGAATGGAATATCTTGGGGGAGAATAGTATTTCACTTAATTGGGGTTCAACTGCAAATATTCATTTGCTAATGTTAACTTGTAATAAGATCTGAGGTATTTCATCTTCGAAAATGTTTTTTCACAGATAGGTACCACCAAATCCTGACATCAATCCATAAGCATGTGGTTTTTTTTTTTTTTTTCCTTTTTGTCTTTTTCCATGTCCGGCAAAGGATTGCAACCCTCAGTGTCGCCCCCGTACCGGACCAGGACCAGCAACGGGATTGCAACCCTCGGTGTCGCTCCCGCGCCTCGCTCAGCCAGTGAGCAGGAACCGGTCTGTATGTGGGATCCAAACCCTTGGCGGGAGCGCCTCCGTGCTCCCAAGCGGCGCACTGTAGCAGTGCGCCACCGGGCCGGCCCATAAGCATGTGGTTTTAACTAGGCAAATTCATTACTTGAAAGATTAATAGACTAGAATATAATTCTATTAAATTCTTTTCTTCATATTTGCCTTTTACCATGTCATCATACTGCAGATTAATCACTTCCAAAGGAAGGTTAAGTGGAAGCCTCTCAATTGCACAGTTAAATAGATTTTGAAATATGGAAATTTCCTTTGCACTTCCATGGAGGTCCAAAAAAGGGTCTGGCATCGTGGAATGAACTTGGAAAATATATCTGCTGCAAACTCATGTAGGAATGGAAATCTCACTTCTTGTTTTAACTTTTGACAGCCTGGGAGGTAATATAAAGCAGTGCAACATTCCTTGTGATTCAAATAATGTTAGCTGTTGTCAAATAACTTTAGCATAAGTTTTGCATATAAGCACTGTTCTGCCTTATGGTTTTAGGTTGAATTCATTACGAATATTACCAAGTCTGTAGCAAAAGCTGATGTACAAAGCCATTTAGTGTTTTATAAGAGTGGCTGAGGGTGGTTCTGTTCAGAAAAATTTCAGTCTTGGCCTTGATCTCAAAACAAAAAAAAAACCTTTAACTCTTGTTAAGCCACTGAACATACAGTAGGGCAAGTCAGAATCTTCAGCTTCTATATCTGACAAAAACTCTCAAAACTGACAATGGTTATGTCACAAGAGTGACTATGGTTTTTTTTCTTCTTTTTTTTGGAACTGGCTGGTAAGGGGATCCGAACCCTTGACCTTGGTGTTATAACACTGCGCTCTCGTCAACTGAGCTAACCCACCAGTCCCCAGGAGTGAATGAATTTTACCTTTGACACTATTGGTTCAATAACACATGATAAATTCATATATTTTCTGCAATTTTCTGCTGATAACACAATGAATAATCAGGGACTTAAAAAACTTTACATTTTCAAATGCTTGGTAAATTGTGTTCAGTTAAGCCTATTTCCGCTCCACCTATATTTTTACCATCAGTTGCAACTTAGCAGATTCCACCTCAGGTTATAGTGAATTAGTGTTTTCAATTTCTTTGAAAATATTCTTGCCTGTAGTTGTACCACACAGACTATTTACAGAGGCTAATTCTTCAGTGACTTCATATTCATCATTGATTCCTCAAATAATCAACTGAGCAGTACCTTGTGCTCCTATTACAGACTGGATAATTTATAAACAATAGAAGTTTATTTGGCTTGTGGTTATGAAGGGTGGGAAGTCCAAGATCAAGGAGCTACATCTAGTAAGGGACTTCTTGATGGGTCATAACATGTTAGAGGAATTACATGGTGAGAGAATGCTCGAAAGAGCAAGAGAGCACTGAACTTGATTTTATAACAAACCCACTCGCACAGTAACAGACTCAGTCCTGCAATCATGACATTAATCCATTCATGCCTTAGTGACCTAATCACCTCTTAAAGGCCCCACCTCTTAACACTGATGCATTGGGATTAAGTTTCTAACACATGAACTTTGGGGGATACATTCAAACCATAGCAAGTATCAATAGTATCTGTTGGGTCATCATGAGCCAAGGAAAACCTTTCGAATCATTTGCCTTGTTTTAAGTTGCTATGTTGTTCCAAATGCCATCAACTCTTCAAGAAACTGTTCTCACCGAAGGCTAATGTTCTTAAACAAATTTACTTTTTCTCAACACATTTCTTTGGCTGTTGCAATCACCATCAGTAAATAACTTCCTAGCTTGGCTAACAAATGAGCTCTCACAAACTTACTTTGGTCGCAGTCTGATTTTCATTTTCATTCTTTTTTGGTGAGGAAATTCTGTGATAAGATTCCCATTTTAAATTTTCTAATTTTTCTAACTGTTGATTTTCTATGATTAGTCTTCAGTGTGGTAATGTAGATATATATTATATCCATTTAACATAGCTATAGTGTTACTACATAATAAATACAGTGCTTTACCATCTAATTCAATAACAAAATAATCCATACTATACTGTGCCTTAAAAGTATGACATTCAAAGTCCAAAGTCTTCTCTTCTTGTGTGCCGTGTATACACTCATAATAATAATAAAAATTACAGTATAACTATATATGACACTTAACATGTTGTCAAGTTATAACTGAGTTATTGAGATTTGTATTGTGCAGAGCTGAAGAGTGAAGCAGTGAGAGTGCCATATATGATCTCTGTGCAAACAACTGTGTTATAGTGAAAGAGAAACCATAATATGTACACATGAGTGTGGCTTTGTTCTAATAAAACTTTATTAATGAACACTGAAATTTAAATTTTATATAATTTTCACATCGCAAATTCTTTTTTTTAAAAAATATTTCTTATTTTTTTCTAACTGCTGAAAAATATAAAAACCATTCTTAGTTTGTGG